AGAGGGGAGCGGGGAGTACCGGACGATAACGGAGGCAGTGAATGCGGCGCCGAGCTATAGCAATAGGAGGTACGTGATATACGTGAAGAAGGGGGTTTATAGGGAGAATATTGACATGAAGAGGAAGAAGACAAATATAATGTTTGTTGGGGATGGAATTGGAAAGACTGTGGTCACGGGTGATCGGAACTTCATGCAGGGTTCGACTACCTTCAGAACTGCAACCGTTGGTGAGTCACATATATATAATTAATATGCCTAATATATTGTTTTTTCACTCATATATATATATATATATATAGACATTTTTAAAGATGTTTGGTCAGATCTTTTTCTCTTTCTTTTTTTTTGAAGTGAGATCCTTTTCTGTTTTTTTCCTTTGCTAATAAATCCAGTAATTTAGTATGTTTTGCATAAAAAAAGTACGTAATTAGTATGGTTCCTATTTTAATGAGAAATATGCATGCAGTTACAAAATTTGCAATATGTGTGAAAAAGGGTAAAATTTATACAACATGACAAATTTATAAGAATGAGTTTAAAATATAGAAAATTTTAAATAATATAGGAATAACAAAATTACATACTTATTATAATGATATTCGCGTTTCTATTACAAAATTATTCAGTAATTTTTTTAATTATTTTTGTTTGTAAAATACTATGATTTTGGGTTATATTAGTAACGACCCACATCTCATATGGTATGATATTATTCGCTTTGAGCCTAAGCCCGTACGGTTTTACTTTTGGACCTCACGTACCCCAAAATGCCTCATACTATTGGGAGGATCCCCGGACGATGTAAGACTGCACAACTTATCTTTTCTTGACCTTGTACCTCAAGGGATTGATGGTTGTCACAATCACCCCTCCTTATAGGGCCCTAACGTCCTTGTTGGCCACATTTTCGGCTGGGTAGATGCTCTGATACCATAAGTGACGACCCACACTCCCACCTGGTATTATATTGTCTGCTTTGGGCCTGAGCCCGCACGGTTTTACTTTTGTGCCTCACCCCAAAAGGTCTCATATCATTGGAAGATGGTGTCATTCCTTATAAATCAAAACCTATCATCATCCCCAAGCGATATGAGATGACACAACTTACCCTTTCTTGACCTTGTGCCTCAAGGGATTGATGATTGTCACAATATTTCAACATCATTAGTGAAATTTTTCTATATGCAAACTTTTCCAATAAATCGAGTTTAAACATATACAACTTTTCCAAGGTGACATTACTACTAGTGGAACAAATCAAATATCCCTGTACAACTGTTTTCTCTAACATATACTAGTGTCACCAAGATGATGCAAATGATAAATTAATCAACTTCTCCATGACTAACATTTAATGTAATGTTGCATAATATTGTAGCCGTATCCGGGAAGGGATTCATAGCAAGAGACATGACATTCCGCAACACAGCCGGGCCAGAGAACCACCAAGCAGTGGCTCTTAGAGTGGACTCGGACCAATCCGCCTTCTTCCGCTGCAGCATGGAAGGCCACCAGGACACGCTCTACGCCCACTCCCTCCGCCAATTCTACCGCGAATGCGACATCTATGGCACCATCGACTTCATCTTCGGCAACGGCGCAGCCGTCTTGCAAAATTGCAAGATCTACACCCGCGTCCCGCTTCCCCTTCAGAAGGTCACCATCGCCGCGCAGGGACGCAAAAACCCGCACCAGAGCACCGGTTTCTCCATCCAATATAGCTACGTCCTCGCCACGCAGCCGACCTACCTTGGCAGGCCTTGGAAGCAGTATTCAAGGACGGTTTACATGAACACTTACATGAGCGGTTTGGTGCAGCCTAGAGGGTGGCTTGAGTGGTATGGTGATTTTGCCTTGGGAACGCTGTGGTATGGTGAGTATAGGAATTATGGGCCGGGTGCCCGCCTCTCGGGCCGGGTCAAATGGCCTGGTTTCCATGTCATTCGGGATGCCGCCACCGCCAATTTCTTCACTGTCGGCCGGTTCATTGACGGGATGTCTTGGTTGCCGTCTACAGGTATCAAGTTTATAAGGGGGCTGACTAATTAAAACCAATATTCATTATTGTTCTTGATGATTAGTGTTTTATTTGTCAATTATTAAGTATAGAAAGATGAGGGGGTGGTGTAGAGGTGTATTATTTTTATTATTATTACTTTTGTGTTTGTGATCAATAATAATAAGCACGTCATATTAGAACATATGTATGATTTGAAAGTGCAATATTGCATTATTCATAAATAGTTTTCCCCTTACGCACAGGAAAATAACAACCATTCTACATAATATATTATTTGACATATGCACTCCATTAGACTTCTTATCTTCTCTTTTTCATTCTCTAAGAAATCAAGCCAGGAAAAAGAGAACAATCTACTCAAATAAAGGCTACATGTCCTAAAAATCGTATATTAATTTTAAAATGTAAAACATAAATAAAAATATAAATTTGTGACCTATCCCGGCCCCTGGGCGCCCCAATACGCGGGTCAGGGGCTTTTTGACAGCGTTTTAGTTTTTTTTGTCATTTTTGTCACATTTTTTTTTACAGGCATGTCTAGAAAAATGTAAGGATCGTGTCTGTAAAATTTCATAATTTTTTGACGTCGTTTTTATTTTATTTTATTTTTCAAATATGAAAAATAAAGAAAATAAAAAAATAGAATATTCATCGAAAAATGGGGCCGCTTGTTGCATTAATTCTTAAAAAACGTATATTAATTTTAGAATCCAAAACATAAATTAAAATGTAAATTTTTGACCCATCCTAGCCCCTGGGCGCCCCACTATGCGGGCTGGAGGCTTTTTGACAGCGTTTTACTTTTTTTGTCATTTTTTGGAGTCATTTTATGCGGGCATGCCCAGAAAAATGTAAGGACCGTGTCTGCAAAATTTCAGACCATTTTGACATCATTTTTGTTTTATTTTATTTGTCAAAGATGAAAAATAAAGAAAATCATAAAAAAATAGAATATTCATCAAAAAATGATGCCGCTTGTTGCATTAATTGCTAAAAATTGTATATTAATTTTAGAACACAAATCGTAAATAAAAATATAAATTTTTGAACCATCCTGGCCTCTGGGCGCCCCACTACGCGGGTCGGGGGCTTTTTGACAACGTTTAACTTGTTTTGCCATTTTTAGGGCCATTTTTTGCAGGCATGTCCAGAAAAATGTAAGGATCATGTCTGCAAAATTTCAGAACTTTTTGACATTATTTTTATTTTATTTTCTTTTTTAAATACGAAAAATAAGAAAAATCATAAAAAATTAGAATATTCATGAAAAATAGCGCCTCTTGTTGCACAAATTCCTAAAAATCGTATATTAATTTTAGAATGCAAAACATAAGTAAAAATATAAATTTTTGACCTATCACGGCCCCTGGGCGCCCCACTATGCGGGTCTGGGGCTTTTTGATAGCGTTTTATTTTTTTGTCATTTTTTGTTACCATTTTTTGCAGGCAGGCCCAAAAAATGTAAGGATCATGTTTGCAAAATTTCATAATTGTTTGACATCGTTTTTATTTTATTTTATTTTTCAAATACGAAAAATAAGGAAAATCATAAAAAAGAGAAAATTTATCAAAAAATGGTGCTACTTGCTGCATTATTTCTTAAAAATGGTATATTAATTTTATAATGCAAAACATAAATAAAAATGTAAATGTCTGACCCATCCCAACCCCTGGGCGCCCCACTACGCAGGCCGGGGGTTTTTCACAGCGTTTTACTTTTTTTATTTTTATTTTTTGTGGCCTTTTTTTTAAGGCATGCCTAAAAAAATGTAAGGATCATGTTTGCAAAATTTCATAATTGTTTGACGTCGTTTTTATTTTATTTTATTTTTCAAACGCGAAAGATAAGAAAAATCACAAAAAATAGAATATTCATGAAGAAATGCTACCGCTTGGTGCATTAATTCCTAAAAATAATATGTTAATTTTAAAATGTAAGTCATAAATAAAAATATAAATTTTTCACCCATCTCGGCCCATGGGCACCCCACTACGCGGGGCGGGGGCGTTTTGATAGCGTTTTACTTTTTTTTTTGTCATTTTTAGTTGCCATTTTTTGTAGGCATGCCCAGAAAAATGTAAGAATCATGTTTGCAAAACTTCAGAACATTTTGACATCATTTTTATTTTATTTTATTTTCAAAGAAAAAAATAAAGAAAATCATAAAAAATAGAATATTCATCAAAATATGGTGTCACTTATTGCATTAATTTCTAAAAATCATATATTAATTTTAGAATGCAAAACATAAATAAAAGTAAAAGTTTTTGACCAGCCCCGGCCCCTGGGTGCCCCACACACGGGCCGGGGGTTTTTGACAGCGTTTAACTTTTTTTTTTTTTCATTTTTTGTGGCCATTTTTTCCAGGCAAGCCCAAAAAAATGTAAGGATCGTGTTTGTAAAATTTCATAATTTTTTTACGCTGTTTTTATTTTATTTTTCAAATACAAAAAATAAGGAAAATCATAAAAAATAGAATATTCATCAAAAAATAGTGCCACTTGTTGCTTTAATTGCTAAAAATCATATATTAATATTAGAATGCAGAAAATAAAGAAAAATGTAAAATTTTGACCTATCTCGGCCCCTGGGTGCCCCACTACGCGGGCCGGGGTCCTTTTGACAGTGTTTTACTTTTCTTTTTATAATTTTTGGTTGCCATTTTTGGCAAGATGGCCAGAAAAATATAAGGATTGTGTATGTAAAATTTCAGAACATTTTGACATCATTTTTATTTTATTTGATTTTTTAAATATGAAAAATAAAGAAAATCATAAAAAATAGAATATTCATCAAAAAATGGTGCCGCTTATTGCATTAATTCATAAAAATTGTATCTTAATTTTAGAATGCCAAATACAAATAAAAGTATAAATTTTTGACTCATCCCGGCTCCAGGACACCCTACTACCTAGGCCGAGGGCTTTTTGACAGCGTTTTACTTTTTTGTCAGTTTTTGTGGGCGTTTTTCGCATGCAAGCCAGGAAAAATGTAAGGATCATATATGCAAAATTTCATAATTTGTTGACATCATTTTTATTTATTTTATTTTTCAAATACGAAAAATAAGGAAAATTATAAAAAGATAGAATATTGATAAAAAAAAATTGTTCCACTTGTTGCATTAATTTCAAAAAAATGTATATTAACTTTAGAATGCAAAACATAAATAAAATGTAAATTTTTTACCCATCCCGGCCCCTGGGCACCCCCACTACGCAGGCCGGAGGCATTGTGACAGTGTTTTACTTTTTTTGTCATTTTCTGGGGCCCTTTTTGCAGGCTTGACCAGAAAAATGTAAGGATGGGATTCGCAAAATTTCAGATCTTTTTGACATCACTTTTACTTTATTTTATTTTTTAAAGACAAAAAATAAAGAAAATCATAAAAATAGTATATTCTTCAAAAAAATGGTGCCGCTTGTTGCGTTAATTCCTAAAAACCATATATTAATTTTAGGATGGAAATCATAAATAAAAGTATAAATTTTTGACCCATCCCGGCCTCTGGGCGCCCCACTATGCGGGCCAAGAGCGTTTTGACAATATTTTACTTTTTTTTGTCATTTTCTAGGTCCTTTTTTGCAGGCATGCCCAAAAAAATGTAAGGATCGTGTGTGCAAAATTTCAGATCTTTTTGACATCATTTTTACTTTATTTTATTTTTCAAAGACGAAAAAAAAATAAAAAAAAGAATATTAATAAAAAGATGGTGCTGCTTGATGCATTAGTTCCTAAAAATCGTATATTACTTTTAGAATACAAAACATAAATAAAAATGTAAATTTTTTACCCATCCCAGCCCTTGAGCGCCCCACTACGCGGGGCGTGGGCTTTTGAACAGCGTTTTACTTTTTTGTGTCTTTTTTTGCAGCCATTTTTTGCGGGCATATCCAAGAAAATGTAAAGATTGTGTCCGTAAAATTTCATAATATTTGGACGTAGTTTTTATTTTTTTTATTTTTAAATACGAAAAATAAAGAAAATCATAAAAAATATAATATTCATCAAAAAATGGTGCCGCTTGTTGCACTAATTCCTAAAAATTGTATATTAGTTTTAGAATACAAAACATAAATAATATTTTAAATTTTTGACTAATCCCGGCCCTTGGGCACCCCACTACTTGGGCAGGCAAGCCGAGAAAAATTTAAGGATCGTGTCTGCCAAATTTCATATGTTTTTTACATCAGTTTTATTTTATTTTATTTTTCAAAGAAGAAACTCAAGAAAATCATAAAAAAAATAATATTCATCAAAAAATGGTAATGTTTGTTGCATTAATTCCAAAAAAAATCGTATATTTATTTTTGAATGCAAAACATAAATAAAAAATAAATTTTGTACCCATCCCGACCCCTGGGCACCCCACTACGTGGGCCGGAGGCTTTTTGACAGCGTTTTACTTTTTTTTGTCATTTTCTGTGGCCATTTTTTGCAAGCATGCCCAAAAAAATGTAAGGATTGTTTCTATAAAATTTCATATCTTTTTGACATCATTTTTATGTTATTTTATTTTTCAAAGTAAAAAAGAAAGAAAATCTTAAAAAATAGAATATTTATCAAAAAATGGTGCCGCTTATTACATTAATTCTTAAAAATCGTATATTAACTTTAGAATGAAAGACTTAAATAAAAATGTAAATTTTTGACCCATCCCGGCACCTGGGCGCCCCACTCTGTGGGTTGGGGGCTTTTTCACAGCGTTTTAGTTTATTGTATCTTTTCTTGTAGCCATTTTTTGCGGGCACCAGAAAAGTGTAAGGTTCGTGTCTATAAAATTTCATAATTTTTTGACGTCGTTTTTATTTTATTTGATTTTTCAGAATTGAAAAAAAAGAAAATTATAAAAAATAGAATATTCATCAGAAAATGGTGCCGCTTATTGCATTAATTCCTAAAAATCGTACATTAATTTCAGAATGCAAAACATAAATAAAAGTATAAATTTTTGACTCATCCCGACCTTTGAGCGCCTCACTACCTGGGCCGGGGGCTTTTTTATAGCGTTTTACTTTTTTTTTATCATTTTTGTAGTCATTTCTTGCAGGCAAGCCTAGAAAAATGTAACGATAGTGTCTGTAAAATCTCATAATTTTTTGACATTATTTTTATTTTATTTTATTTTTTAAATACGAAAAATAAGAAAAATCATAAAAAATAGAATATTCATCAAAAAATGGTGCCACTCATTGCATGAATTACTAAAAATTATATATTAATTTTAGAATATAAAACATAAATAAA